ACGTTTAATAATTTATATATAAATTATAATATAGCTTCAGACAACTATAATATGATACTTCTATGCGTTAAACAGCGTTTATCACTATCGTAACTATAATTATTAAAAATTTACTTATAAAGTCGGTATCATTTAAAAAAACTACATTTCCTTATGTATAACTATTCCTATCTTAAAAAATTGTAAAAATGCCAAGTATATTAAAATAATAAAATATAATATAAATAAAAAAGAAGTATATCTCACATCATTTATAGTAAGTTAGTTTTTAACACGGATTAATGAATGAATTTTTTTCTATCATCATTCGTCACTTTTTGAAACAGTAAAAGTACTGCAATCATAAATATGGTAGAAAATCTGGATCTAGTTATCGTTTAAGGAAGCGTCAAAAATAAAAAATGTTCAGTCATTATTTAACAACTTCCTTCTTAAAAAATTCTAAATACGTTATTTATAAGTAACGGTTATGAATTTACCTATTATGTAACTACATATCTTAAACTATTATATTAATTTTCAACAAAAATTTTCATAATATTGCGTTTAATCTGATAATTATTAATTGACATTTTCCCCAAATATTGTTGAGAACTTGTTTCAATCATGATTGTAAAAACTAAAAACCTAGTACAAGCATGCAAGCTGTAACATTATTTTTTCCAGGTAAAAAAAAAATAAAAAATAAAAAAAATATTATTCATTATTTATATTAAAATATATTACCACTAAAAAACGTAAATAATTAAGGAATTAAAATATTAATGATAAGTAAATAACGATATTTTTGATCAAATTGCAGTATTAAACTAAATACGATATAAGAAATAATTTTAATACCCATTATTTTTAGGCCGGTAATAATGATAACACCAGCATACTTCAGCCATAATTAAATAATATTTTCATTGAATTTTCTCGTTGAATAAGAATCGTTTTAGTAATTATTATTATTATTTTTTTTCTCTGGAAATTTGTAAAATAAATTTTACCCAGACAAATTAAAATATTAAAAGAGCTCCTCTATTTTTTAACAGTACTTCTTAAAATTATTTTGGTGAAACAATTATGTTTTTAAGATCAACAAGGTCTGAGTAGTATAAAAAGTATTTAAGTATATTTTCAGTTTAAAAGTTACAATTTTTAGATGATGCAAATATGCTCATGGTGATCAAGCAGACAAGTGAGTATAACGACTGCTTTTAACTGTTTAAGTCATAGTTTCTATTTTTTTATTTTCCAATCGTCGAAAAACATACATTTGTTCATGATACCACACAATATCAATGGCACACGAACTAGCTATTCTTCACCATAACCGGTTTTCATACAGAGAGCTTTCACGGTTAATTAATTCGGAAATAATTAATGCAAAAACAATTTTTTATTTTTACGAGTATTTATTTTGTTTTACATTTACGATTATCTTAGTTTAAATAACATTTAATAATATTAAACAAATAATGCAAGGTCGAATCATGGAAATAAAACCACAAAAAAAAAGAAAAATTTTAAAAAAAATCATGAAATTAAAAACCAAATTTTTTTATCGTTTCAAATTTTAATAAACCAGTTATAGATTAATATCAAAAATCCAATTAACCAGGTGTCTTAGTTATGTATATGTACTCATATTTTTATCATGAAATTAGTAAATAAATGAAATACAGAACATATAAATCATAACGATCGTATAAAAGTATTATAAAATTAATTTTATTTATTTATTTATTTTTTAATTCCATTTTGTTTATACTATATCGTCTGCAGTTAGTCATTTAATTGAGACGCCATTTACATCTGATACAAATTAGCTTCCAAACACTGCAGTCTGCTCAATTTTATATATTGATTTCGCATTTTGAATCTTTGATTTTTCAATTGAAAGCTTATGTGTAACTTTAAATGTTGGATCAATTTTAAATATTGTAGACGTATGGATCTGTACAATTGAAAGAGCTCTTTTTATTAAATTCCTCTGAATAATAGGAAAAACCCTGGATGTTTCAAAATATAACTATTGCGTGTTAATTTTTATTTACCTTTATTTGATGTAATTATTTCCATAATTTATCACAAACGCTTTGAAAAATTAGAACTTAAAACTACTTAATACTATACTTAATTCTAGTGTTACAATAGCTATATGCTATATAACAATTATTGTCTTTAATAACTATAAACTAGGTAATATATAAAATTAAATTATGTACATTACTATATTACACACATTATTATAATATTAATTATTTAAATAAATTTTTAGATACAAGTAAATATAATTTTAATCACGATTATTATTGATTTAGATTTATAATTATAATTCAATAAAATATATTATTTATTTTTTTTATGTTTTCATATTTTTTTCCTAAGCTTTTTTTTATGTATCTATTGGATCGAGGTTTTGTTTTCTTATGATCTAAAATTTAAATTAATAAAATATGTACTCCATAATGCGTTGTATTTGAACAAGTAAAAGAATTTAAAGATCTTGGTTTAATCATTGATTATAGTCTTAAATGGGATAGTCATATTAATTATTTAAATCAGCGGTCGCTAACCGATGGTCTGCGAACCACTAGTGGTCCACGGTAAAAATTTGGTGGTCCATATAAAAATTTGAACATTATTTGTAATATTGTATTTATAATCGTAATATACAAAAGTATTGTATAATGTCATTGTAGGTAGGTTCAGTTTACGACAAATAAAAATAAACGAACAATAATATTGTCATTATTATCGCATGTTATAAAATAAATAGACCTAATATCGTTATCATAATATGTTCTAAGAACACTTATAATTTTAATCCAATATTCATTTTAACTTTTTTTTTTTGTAATCAATAATAATAAAACTAACTTAAATAATTTTATTGTAAACAAAAAAAAACCCTTTTTGGTATTTTATAAAATATGCATTAATTTAATTTATTTTAATTTGGCATTTTAGACTTATGAGTATAAGACATAAGCGGTCCGTAGAATTTAGAGTTGTGGATTTAGTGGTCCTTGAAGCCCAAAAGCTTAACGATCGCTGATTTAAACAATATTATACGTAAATTCTTCTTCATATTTAAAGATGTTAAATATATATTTAATAATTCATAGAAAAGAATAATTTATTTATCTTTGGTACAGTAAATTTATTCGTATGGAATCTCAATGTAGGGAAATACTTTCAATAATTATTTATCCAGATTAATAGTTACTTTAAATTGCATTATTAAATATTTATTAAATGTATCTATCCAAACTAACACTAACTTGATATAAAATAAATTAAAAGTTAACGATTTTAAGTTTATTTTCAATTTATTTACTTTTATTAAACTTAACAAACACAAACTTTTAATTCCTTTCCTTGATCATCATCATGATACAAGATACAGTAATAATATTAATATAAGTCTACCCATTTATAATAAAGTATTTGGTCAAAATGTGTTTTATATAAAGGTCTAAAACTATGTCAAGAATTAAATATTAATGTAAACGATTATTTAAAGTATGTTTTTAATCTCATTTTGACTAGGTAATTTTTTATCCATATTTGTAAGCATCATATTCGCCATTATATCTTTGTTTTATATTTTTATTTAATTCTATTTATAATCAGTTACAGTTTTATTCTTATAATCTATTTTACCTAATATAATGAATTCTCATTGTTTAATATTTAGATAAGGATCGCTCCCCTAACACAAGTAAAGCTTATAGGAGGACCCGCAATGTATAAACTTAAGAATTTATATAATTTATAATATTTTATTGTTGCAATAAATTATTATTAGTCTTAGTATTCTGTATTTCGTTTTCGAACTCTTGAGAATATCTTGGAATTAACTTAAAGCCTGAAGGTATATTTTTTTTGTTTAAAAAAAGTTAACTAGTTTTTTTTATAGTTTCGTAAAAATGTATTGCCATGATGTTCAAGGCCAAATCACACAATTCAACATAATCATAGCTAAAATACACATGTAGACCATTTCTACGTATTTTCATATAGTCCGTATAACATAACGCATGTATATAACCTGTAATTTACGTCTTTTAATATTGGTATAAACCGGATAAAAATATAAAATTTGAAGAATTTAAAATAATAATTATATATTTTATACTTCAATATTTTTTATTTAATGGATATTATATAATAAAACTAATTATTTAATTTTGAACCAATTTTATATATTGCTTTATAAATATTATGTTAAATTTTAATAACCGTACATAGAAATACTTCTAACAATATTCTGCTAATTTACTTAGAAACATAAGATTAAAAATGTTACTATATTGTTATCTAAAAAGTGAAAAATTAAAAAAAGAAATGATAAAAGATAGTAAAAATATAATTATAATAATAATATAAATAAAACATAAAATGCTCATTATGTTTAACAACGATATTGAATTATGTGGAAATATTTCCAAACAAATCATAATTTAACAAAATAATGATTTTTGTTGTTGTTCACTGAACGTTTTTGATTTATTGCTGTTTAATATTAGTCACTAAATACAAAAAAAATATATATATATATATAAAATTACTGTTGTGTTTTTGTTTAGTTGTTCTAGTACATATATTATATAAATATTTTAAATTGCTATTGTGTAAGCTAAAATTTTTATAGATTTTGGCTAATAACTATTGTTTTGTTTACTATTGAACGGAAAGACAAGTATATTCAACATTCACATATGTAATATTATATAGGTATACGCTTATAAAAATGTGTACATAGGCATAGTAATATATATACAGTAAAACCTCTCTATAGCGGAATCGCTTGGAACCAGAAATAATTATTTTCACTATAGGGAGGTAGAAAAAAATCAAGTTTCAAGAATGTGCGAATGTGTCAAAAAAATTATATATTAGGTAAATATTTCAAACAACGTAAATTTATATTTAAAATTTAGTTGAATTCTTAACTTAAAAACTTGTTAATCAATATAATTTCTAATTGACAATTGTTATTATTTCTAGATATTACATACATACAATATTACGAACAATATATTATATAAACATATTTATTATTCAGTATACACATTTCGAGTAAATATCGATATACATTGATTTTGAGTGGAATCTAGTATATACTAGGTTAATCTAAATAGACTATAAAGTTAATTATAAAACTGTGATTATTTATCAGATAAATTTACTGGACGAGGCATTCCGTGAGATTGTATGGTTGATCCAGTGGGAATAACTGTAAGTTCTGCTATCTGTAAAAAAAAAAAATACAAACATATAACATAACACAAGTTCGCTAATATTACGAGTACTAAATATTCATATAATATATAATTATAATTTATAACTGATGTCTGATAAGACAGACTTCAACACGAGAAGGCGTCTTCAACGTAGTGATCACCATGGCTGCTACATCTTCAGGTTTCAAAGCTGGTCTTGAACTTACGACCTGAGAAGAAGGTCTGAATTTAGCGGTGTTGAAAATTTCCGTATCCACGCTTCCCGGACTAATACTCTGAAACACGATTTTTAAACTATCTATACTATTTATCAATAGGTATTTACATACCTAACGTACAAAATATCAAAAACTATAGAATATCATGTAAAATGGATAGGTATATAGTTACTAGTTCGTAATCAAGAAGTTCGCGAAATAAAATTATTATTAATATTATTACAAAATTGGAGTATAAAATACCACCCGAACAGGGGCGTCCTCAAGGGGGGGGCGAATGGGGCAGTCGCCCCCTCCACGACCTCTATTTTCTTATTTATTTTATTATAAATTGGTGTATTTTCATATATATATATATACAGGTGATGTATGAAGTTCGCCCCCCCCCCCTATAAAAGAGTCTAGGGACGCCACTGCACTCGAACCCAATAAGCAATATAACAAGATAGGTATAGTACCGCGGTATAAATGTATATAGGTAGTTTTAATTCAACAACTTAGATAGCTATAGTAAGGAAGTAAAAATAAAGAATCGCTATTTGACTAAGAGAAACGTATGTAAAAATGACCAAAGAACGTGAATGATAGCAATAGGAACATTAAAACGAGATGGTTTGATTTTTTAGGACAGTAGAATAATTATTTAAAAAACAAAGTTGTGTTTACTACTATAATTTAATTTTACGGCCATTTTAGAAAAATCTAAAACGACGTCACAGACGAGGTAGATATTAGTTATTAGGTACTATATTGATTTAACTTCCACCCACATATTTTTTCTAAGCAATTTATACTATTTAAGCCTATGATAATACATGTATAAAATAATGAAAGATGCCAATTGTTTAGAGATAAAATATAACTGGGAATTAGTGAATGGTTTTTATTTTAGTTATATTTTTACACGGGCTGGTTAAAATTTTAGTTCAAAAATTTAAATGATGTCGTTAGGATAAACAAAAAAATTAATAAAAAATTCAAACTAATAAAGTTTATTGAACGACTTCAATAAGCAGCTGTTAAAAAAGTCAAAAATTTCTAATTGAACGGCATTAAGACGTATGTTCTTATTTAAAATTATATAATCATTATGGATCACTAAAATATAAATACTGTAAACAATCTAAATATACTATATGTAATTATACTTTAAAAATGTATTTTAATTAGTATACCTACAATAATAATTAATACTACTATTTTTGTTTTGTATTATGGACATTTATTGTTCTATTATTTTTAAATTGAACTTCTTGTCTGAGATTTCAAATATTATATATATATATATAGCTGGCAGCTGCAGTCTGCTGTAAGTACACTGAAAAACTCACCGATACTTTTATCTTTGAATTGACGAGACTTAGTTCGTGTCGAAGACCTTCACACAGCACCGTAATCGCCGTCTTAGAAGCGTTGTACATTTTATGTGCGTAATACGGTGTTATAGAATGACCGCCAATACTATGAATTTATACATCGATATTATTATACAAGTAATAGGTATTATGTATTATATCACATAGGTAATAATGCGCTTTATTGTTACATATACGAGATATGCAGTAATAATGCGAACAGAATTGCGTATATTATTAATTGTTCAATTATTATCAGTATTGCAATATGATCGGTACAGCTATTTAAAAGATATATGATCATATAATATTATGATTAAAAAATTATATAATACCTCTATAAAAAAATAGTTTCACAACTGTTATACATATTATCCTCGATATTATCATGTACTAGTAACTATTTTATATGATATGACGATTATTAGATTATCAGATGACAAAATAATTTTGTACTCACGACTCACCGCGCGTTTGCTATTTAATGTTTGTATTATATTTACCTGTTTATTTGAATAATATGCCCATTTATGTCGTTCTTAGACATCGATTGATACGCTTCTCTTGAACATACGCATTGTGCTATTACATTAATATTCATGAATAACTTCCAGTCTTTCAATGTACCGTCTGCGAAGTTCAGTATAGCGGAAACATAAAATTATGTCAAATACAGTTTAAAATCATACGTAATGTAATACAGCTGTGTAAATTAATAGTGGTGTAATTTGTAGTTATCAACTATACCTAACTTTTAGAGTAATAAAAGTACGTAACTAATATCAGTAAATATATTATATTCGATTCTCGAACTGTTAATTATATTATAATATTATTTTATTATAGTTGATAATATGATTGTCTTTAATATCGTTATAGATACCTGAAACCTGGAGTCTGTCTATGAATAAATAGTAATGTATACAGTAATACAGTAATACAATAATATGTATATTTTACATGATAATATTATACTGTGTAGGATGCATAATATTTACATGTAGTGCTAGATTAACGTATAGGCAGGGTAAGCACATGCCTAGGGATAGATAAAAGTGGCCATCAGAGGGAGCTATTTTTTTTTTAATAATTTAAATTCTGAATCATTAATTAAATAAAAATAACAACTTATGGATTTTTATTATTATATTATTATTATAGCAAAAGCTGATAAATCAACTAAATCAGAAACTGAATATAGTGGAAAAACAAATTTTCAAATAAATACATTTTATATCATTATTGATACCTTAAAAACTCAATTAAAAATTTAATCTGAAGTTTACTCAGATATTCTAAATATTTTTAGATGTATCCCCATGTTAAACAAAACAGATTCAGTTCAAACTATCAAAAACAGTTGGTAGTCAATTAATTGAAAAATAATTTCCGGCAGATATTCAAAGTTCAGATGTGTTATTAGATAAGTGTCTTCATTTTAAAGAATTAATGAAAATAGAAGAAAAATTGTTTACATCGGTTGAAAATTCAATGACATTTACTTTGTCAACTTTCATTAAAAGTAAAGAGCTTGATGATGTTTTTCCAAATCTTTATATAGTCCTGACTCCTGAGAGAATGTTTCTTAGAGGTAATTTACCAGGAACGGGAATTTTCAGTTTTATAACGACCGGGTAAAAAATTACTTACGATCTTCTATGCCTGAAGAAAGGTTAAATGCTTTAGCTATACTGAATATTAATTATTAAATACTACTGATTTAAATGATGTAACAAATGACTTCAGTTCTAAAAAAGCAGAAAAAAGTTGTGAATTAAAATAATTAAATAAATCTAAACATTTTTATAATTTTTTTTTTTTACAATGAGCTATAAAAAAAATGTTTGCTTAAGACTACGATCGATCTTAATCCGACACTATATACATGGACTTATTTGTAATCGCCTTAACCAAGATGTCAGTAAAAAATATTAATTTTTTTATTTTATAAGATTATTTATTTTCTAAATTTATTTGTTCCCTTATTCTAAAGGTATTTATTTTGTTTATCAAATCGTTAATTAATTAAGAAAAATACTTTACATCTATTATTCTATACAAAAGTTTGAGGAATCTACAAAAATTACATTAAAACGCATTAAATACATCGTTAATCTATATTTTAATCTATTTTGTTTCTTCTGTTTTATCTTTTATGCATAGCATACGTGATAAAAAAACAATAAGTTGATTTAAATTCGATAATCTGACAATAGGCCAGGCACCTAAATACGCTTATGCACATTATAATATGGTACTCGCCCAAAAGACTGCTCCGCAATATAATACCAGCGTTGTTGACCAACACACTGACGCCACCGAGTTCAGTGTCCACCCAACCAAACACATCCTGTACTGCTCGTTCGTCAGTAATGTCGCAGGTCTTAGGATAAAAAATCCCTCGCCGACTTCTTTCTGGAGTCAACATACCAGTTGTCGCGTCGTCTTCTAACAAATTTGCAAGTTTCTATGTAGATAACCAATATTATATATATATATATAATGATGTGCGCCTAAGCAACCATGTATAAATAAAATTAAATATTTAAATATAGTATGATAAAATAATTTTAAATAGTTATTAAGGATTACAATAAGTCATTAGTATTAAATGAGATAAAATTATAGGGATAATAGATAGTACTTGTACACACGCACACACATACAGGACATTAATTATAAGAAGGCCGGTCACTGCCAGTCAAAGAACAGTGTTCTTCCCATCTTTTTGTATAGACGATCAAAAGCGAGTGTAAAAGACTACGCAGATCGAATATACAAAAATACGTAAATGTTAAAATTATTTATAATTAAAATCAAATATAATATGTTGAATAATTTGTGTATTGAAAAGTTATAATAAAGTTAATAAGTTTACTTGAGTAAAGAAAATCTTTAAATTATTTAATATATACTGGTCACCTTACTACATACTCAAAACCTTCACTACAGCATCAATAGAGAAGTCGCTGCCAGTATAAGAAAGGTAATTTGATGATTTGTAATCAATTTAAAGGTATAAAATTGAATCCCAATATTATAGGTCTTTTTAAATTAGGTATTACATATATTAATATTATTTATTATATCATATGAAGTATAGGTCTCATGTATATAATCTATTATTATTAGCTATTATAATACTTATTTTAACTTTTTAGTTTTTAAAATTTAAATTTAGATAAGAAAATAAAAATATTAGTTTAATACACATAAGTATTTATATGTATGACGTATATATCTTGTAGTTTTTTATTTATTTATTTATTATATTACATCTTCTGATAAGCTATCTGTGCAGACTTGTCGGTACGACTAACTCCTATAGTAATATATTTGTCTATGTATAATATATATATATATATTATTAGCTTTTAATATTTAAATCATTACAGTTCAACGATTACAACTATATAAATAAATAAATAAAAGAACGGCTGTTACAAATAATCTAGCACAGCGTTTCTTAAACTGTGGGTCGCGACCAACTGGTGGGTCGTCGGTCAATTGTTGGTGAGTCGCGAACAATATTTTAAATTATACAGATTCCAAGAAATGTATGTTAAATTAATATTAAGTATATCATTATTAATAAAAGTACATTTGTAAAAATACATTGATTATAAACCTATAGAATAATAAAAATAATAATTTAAACCTAATAAACAAATTTTGTTAAAAAAATTATATTATTTTAAATTAAATTTTTTTTTTTATTTAACTACTTTTTGAAAAGTGAAACTATGTGGGCCACTAAAAATTTTTCGGGGAAAATTTGGATCACGGTACTAAAAAGATTGAGAACCGCTGATCTAGCATATAAAAAATACAACTGAAAACGTAATTATATTAAGATAAAATTAAGAATCCAACAAATTTAAAAAAAGTTTAATTTATTAATAGTAACAGATCTAGAAGAGGAACTTAAAACAACTTATGAGTTCATTGAGATGATATTGATACTATACAAAAAATTAAATAACTTTTAATAGAGATAAAAATTTGAAATATGGTGACTACAAAGAGGAAAGTTATTTAAGGAAAGGTAAAAGGCATGAGCAGGAAATAAATCAAATCTTAATCTTAATTTTAAAAAATAAACGATATGAGATCTAGATAAGGGCTGTTAATGAAACCTCGGCTAGGATAATATTACAGAAACTATCAGGGATTATAGATCTATACCAAGAAGCAAAGTAGGGTGCAGCTGATTACCACATATTTTGCCAAGTACATTTGTAATTGATTTTAAGCATATTTAGTAGATAGAAAGGTGAAATTTGACTAAAAATGATTTTGTTTTATATTTGGTAGAAGTAACAAGAAAATCGGATACTTCAGATACTTGTTTCCTGAAATTCCAACATAATCTACCCGCATGCAAACTCAATTTTAAAATCTTGTAGATACAAATGAAAGATTGATGCTTTTATACTAAGAACAAGAAGAGAAATGACTACAAAGATTAAAACGATTTTTAAAAGAATGTTTACAAAAAATAAAACCACATTAAAATAATTAGTTTCACCTAAAACACTGCATTTTCCATTCAAAGAGTACTATGTTTTAAAACACTAAAAAAATAAATGATACATTGCGCTAGACTTTCAGCTCTAATGATAACAGTAGGCAGTAAACTTTTTTTAAAATTAATATAATATTTAAATTCTAGATTCTATAGGTACGTTATACTAAAAATGCTTTAGAGACTATTTTTTCTATAGTACTTTATTTTAGAATACTTTTTTCCTATCATATTTGTATAGGTACATGACATACATTTTACATCCCAATTCAACGAATGCCATTGCAATATTGCATGTTACTGATATGATTATAAATTAGCTCTATCTCTCTCCCTCTCTCAGTGGCGTATTTTCAACGCGTGTAATAAGTGAGAATATGAAGTCATATACACGGTTTGGGTTGTTTTGAGGAAAACCTACCTCGAGCTTTGCTGATTGGACGTCCAATCCAACCACATTAACACCGTGTCGGAGCAACTCCACTGTCGTAGCAGCTCCTATGCCCGAACCCGCGCCCGTGACAATCGCGTTTCCGCCTTTCCACTGGTCCATTTTAATATCCTGTATAGACACGGTGACTTCAATATCACTTAATATTAGGTACACGGCGAGTAACAGCGGTATTTTATACAACTTAACTTATTGTACGATAAGAAACAAGTTTATAATATTTTTTCTCGGTTCACGTATCAACTAAAATCGACTAAATGTTAATTTAAACGCGGGACGCGACAATAATTTTATGCAAGGTAGCCAACGACTGACGAGTGACGAGTGACTAACGGTGTCTTATCAACAAATAAGCAGATAAGTAATATTATGACAAAAACTAAAAACAACAAATTTTAATCTAATTGCAATTGTCTCGAGCTATTTTATTTGATTGAAAAATGAAGATCGTCTAGAAACTCACGACGGTAATAATTATGTAAATTTGTGTTTGGATATTATTTTATATTTCAATGTTTAAGTAGTTTCAAGCGTTTAAGCTGAACAACGATACAACTTTATCTATTCTTATAATAATAGGTAATATTAATACAGAATAGATTAAATTTAATCTTATCTGTGGTATTACTATTACATGTCATAAGCATACACAGCGATTTTAAAAAACCATGTACCGCAGAACGTAGTGAATTGACAATACGATTAAGATAGTACAAAAATCGTTTTAATTTAATACTTATCAATCATCATTAAGTTAATAATTTTGGATTTCAATAACTACTAAACATCACCATAAGTTTTTAAATATTTATTCAAAATGTTTCAATATAATTACCAACCTATTAAAAATATAGCTAATTTTTCGACTTAATATTAGGATTTATGATTATATGTACCTATTTCTAGTATTTTTTTTTTTTTTTTTTATGTATAATAATTTAATTATGTAATATTCAATTTAAACTCTATTACTTGCCTATTCATGAATGCAATTACTTGTTTACAAATAATTAGACTGTAATAACGTAAAAATTAAGAAAATACATTTTTGATAGTAGAAATAAAGTTTTAAAAGATAATTATTATTTTCCTCCTGATATTCGGAGGATTCTCGAGGCCGTGTCTTGTAAAAGTAATCAAGTACACCATTACGTAAATTTAATATTAAAAAATCTATAGTAGTAATAAGTAGTATTTTAGTCATGCACCTTACTAGATTCTCCGCAGTGAATGTATATGTTGTATGTTCTTTGGAAAAGGGTAAGGTAATACCAATTAAGAAATAACTTAAGAAAAACTTAAGTTTAAATAAGAAAAAAACAATACTTGTTTAGCTTATGAGAAAGGAAGAAGTCCAGTTGTCGCTCGCAGAATCTTGTGTAGTCGTGTGGAGAGCTCTTGCTCGTGAGGTAGATGCGTTTGCACTTGATAGTTTGAATGGTCATGCACTGATGAGCGGAGACGACCTGGTCAAGCCGGCCAGTGTCGCAGGCAGTTCTATCAAAGGTCTCCGCGTTTTCTAAAGAAATTGGCTGTCTCCTAGGCGACAAAGACTCTTTTGATCCTTGTCTTTGGCGGCACACGAAATAGATCACACGTGTTGCGCCAATTATCACAACTACGTCTGAGTTCCTACGTAACCAAATAATGAAAATCGTTCCTTTAATCAGTGATTAATTGTGTTTATAAGTTTTTTAACGATTATCTGCATGCGAAAACTTGACCGTTATTTATTTTATTGAATAATTAAGCATAAGCAATATTACAATCATAATATGAGAGCATATCATTACAAGACTCTTAGGTAATAAGTAACCTAAATAAATAATAATAATTAATCACAATTATTGTGAGTACCTACCTAATATAATAAATTAATCACTCTGTTATCTGCATAGCTTTTACCTAGAGACTTTAAAGTCAAATTAATCAACCTGCAAGAAGACTAGAGACTAGAGAGATAAGCCAATTAAGCCGCTCCACCACAATCATTGATAAACGTTCTGAGACATTTATAACCGCACAAGTAGTACCTCGGTCGTAAAGTGGCAAGTAAACTTACTATGTACCATAAATTTATAATAATTTAGGATATAACTAAACTTTATTATCTTGGATTTTGAAATAAATATTTCAAATTTTTTATAATGAATTCATAACCCGTTACTTGATTGTAAGCGGTAAAACTACAATTTATGCATAAATATATTGTACAACAATTAACCTTCTATTATTTGAGATTTTGTATAATAAGTTATGGTATACCTATGCTAATGTTTATTTTTTGTTATAAATAGGGTCGATAGTTATAGCACTAAAAAATGACATTTTTAACGCTTTAATATGCATTTAGAAACATCAAAATAAGCGCAAAAATAACCCTAAAAATTGATAAATATGTAAAATAAAATTTCAACAAAATTTTTACTGTAGAATATAGTAGTAGGTATTAAGGAACTTTTGGTTAGCTCTGGAACATAAATACGACGAATCCGATATGCGTCTGACATACATTTTAAAAATAACCAAATTATTGAAAATTAATAGAATAAATTGTCCGATATCATCGATGATGACAACCGATAACGTAATACTTGCCTACTATTTTTGTAAAATCAAGATACCGTTTTCGTTCGCGTATTTCTATACTTTACTGAAGTTATATTGTATATTTTCTTTAATATATAAAAATATGGCTATATGAATAGCATAATTCGAAATTAGCAAAATAGCATTAGAAACCATAAATATGCATAAATTAGAAAAATAAAATTTTTTATACAATATCATGAAAGTGTGAAATAAATTTGTAGGTATCTTACTTTTAATGTTCTATGACAAATCAAAAATAATATGCAATTGCTAAAACTTCCTAGTCTTGTTTATGAATGTCCTATAAGACCCAAATATTTCAATTGATATAAATATAATTAATTGAATAAAATTAATTAATTTATTCATTCATTATTTTAATTAATCAATATTCTTTATAAAACTTCAATATCTACTTTAAAAAGGTTTAGTCCATTGTTTGTATCAAGTATAGATAGGTGCTATTTAACATACCTAATATATAAAACTCTTTTAGAAATACTTTTTTTTGTTTGAAACTAAAACAAATACAATTAGTTACCTGAGTTATGAATTATGATTAATGATTTATTAAAAAATTAAAATTTTAAAATTTTCATAACTCGCTTTTAAATTAAAATATTGGGAAAAATAGTTCCTACATTCAATATAAAACTAAAGCAGATAAATAAAAACTTAAAACACTGAATGAAAATATGTGGTTCTGTACTTAAGATAGAGTCAATTTATGTGGGTGGTTCCTCTTAGCATTATATAATATTAAGTTATTATGGAATTTAAATTAGGTTTTTAAATTAAGGACTAAGGTACTTAATATTTCAATTAATAGCATTTTTTAAATTGTCTAATTATATTTTATTACACTAGCCTGTATTACTTCATTAATTTTAACATAGTTTAATTTAAGTTATAATCTTTTTTTCAGTATTTCTATAATTAACTCATTTTACAGTGAAGTGAATATTTAACATTTTGCAATTTTCTAATGAATACTTAATACTTAATATTTTTTTGTCATAATCATCTTATGACCACAATCAACAAATGGTAATGATTCTTAAATATAGATGCTTATTTTGCTCTTTACAATTAAAAAAAATTATTTTTTATAATTTATCAATAGTTTTTTTTTAATTCAAAGATAAATGTGTTTTTAAAAGAATTCAACAGATTACTAATTCACAAATTAAGCTATTTAAGCTTATATACTAAATGCAAACAATGCAGTCAAACCTAAATAATATAGGTATTAAATTTCTGAATGGATGTGATTTTAAGGCCCTAATAAATATAAGCATGCACATGGGGGAGGCAACAGAGGTAGCTGCTTCACCTGTGAAATTTCCCGCTCCCAAAATATTTTATTATACTTTAATACCTACTAATTTTTGTAATATTTAAAAAATATGTTAAATATCAATAACTATGCTATTAAAATAGTAAGTTTAATATTATATTATATACAATATATAATTAGTATATTATATATTTTAAAAATTGATCAAAATTTTTTTTTATTTACTATTTTTTTGTTATTATATATTCTTAATTGTTAGAGATATTATTATTAAAAACTCTTTTGGTAATCTTATGTTTAACCTAACTCTTAACCGAATAGTAGTATTAACCTGATTTTGTATGAGGATTTATTAAAATTATTATTGCCTCACATCAAGGTTTTGAAAAAATCTGGAGGGATTTGGAGTCTTAACCTTTTTAATTAAAGGTATTGCCTCTCTTGGCAAGTAGACCTGCGCATGCTTATGCTGATAAATTTTTCAATTTATTATTTTTATATAAATACATCTACATTGTTTGAAGATGTTCATAGCAAAATATAAATTATAATAAATCATAATGTAGCTGCAAAATCTCAATTAATATGACCTAGATAAAGGATGACTAGTATTTTTTGGTCATGTGACAAAATGTTAAAAAAATTGTAATAGGTCTCAAAAAACTTCACATGCTAGTAATATATGATCATAGATATATATAAAAAACTTTTAGTAAACATTTAGCTAACTTATTTTAAAATCAGTCGTATATTGTATTAATCTTAGATATTTTAATGAAAAACGAGCAATATTAGTTTCATCTAATATATTATTCCTGTTTTGATTTTAAATAGTCCATTTTATAAATTAAACCTTCATATATTTTATTTGTTGATATACAATTTGAGTTAATTTAAAATGAAATTTGTTTGCTATTTTTTTTTTTTTCATGAAACAGTAAAAAAATACATTTTTGCGTGCCATAAAAATATGGGTAATGTGACAATTTTAGCATACATACTATAGGTTTGATACCCCTGACCTAGACACCACTAGTAGGCAGTAGCTATTTAACCATGGGCAATTTTTTAGGAGCAATGAGTTTTGTTAAGTGTAAACTATTGAGATAAAATTTAAAAAATTAATTAAAATAATTGTATTTAATTATCTGGAAAATTACATAAATAATTTTATTTTGAATAAAAAAATATAAGAAGAAACTCTGCCCACAAAAGTAATAACAAAATGGCATAACTACAATTATTATTGTTTAGCTGATTTATAAAAGACAATAAAGTATATTACTATATTATAGTAAAAAATTATTCAATTTTATTTAAGAAAATGCCAGCATTAATAATACATAATATTAAAGCATTTAAAGTTATTTCTTGGTATAATGTAAAATAGTTGACTAACACTTAAATAAATATTAAATTTAAAAATAAATTAAGTATGACAAGTAAGTAGATAAACTCCAATATATATTTTTATAAATATTTTAAAAAAAAATTCAGGCATTTGGTACATAATATACAATTACAGATATTTTTAAAAATTATGTGCATTAATATAAAAATTAATATTGAAAAAATTATTTAATACTATTTTTTTCAATAATCTACTCTTCCATATTAACTATACCATTGTTTTTGTTTTTAATCATGTTTAGGAACTAATACAATCAATGTCAAACAATTTTGATGACACAATGGAGATCTTCAGCAGACGGCCTGTGTTTGGCTGTGATCTTTAAAAATTTTCTTATCTTCTTGTAATAACCAGGACAATTCCATGTGGTATTATGCGAACCTCTTCTAAACCTGACAATCTGTTTTAAAGGGCCACAATAAGCATCAAATAAGTTGGTCATCATTGATGGAGGAACTAATGTATCTTCTTCACCAGAAACAAATAATATTGGTACTTGTAGTTTGCCCATTTTCCAATTGGACATATACTAAGATGAAGAAAAAAAAACAATTAATAAGTTAAATAATTGTTAAATATTTCATTAAAATTACCTTATTTTTATACAAAAATAAAGGGATGTATTTCAAAAGTTCAGAAGACATAAGTTCCGTTGCCATATCTGGTATACATGTAAACGTATTCTCAACAATTACACACCAAATTTTTTGGGCATATTCTAATCGAGCAGCTAAATCAATGGCAACCGCACCACCTATAAAACAATGTCCATGATTAAATATTTTTTAACAATTGAAAAAATATTTATAGAAAAATTGATTACCTAATGAACGTCCAAATACTATGATTCGACCAAGATTTAAATCATTACGAGTTAAAATAAAATCAATTGCTGCACTTGCATCCATATAAAAACCCCTTTCTGAAGGTGATCCATGTGACAACCCATACCCACGATATTCTAGCATTACTATGTTGCATCTCAGCTCATTATAAAAGCCCACTACATTCGTTAACCTACAAAGGATGTTTTAAAATATTTTGAAATCAAAATACTTAAATAAAAATATTGTTCATACCTGTGACCCATGTTTCCTGCATTTCCATGCAAAAATAAAATGGTTGGTACCATCTTAGAAAAATCTCCTGGTTGTTTTATCAAGAATAAGTGTAACCGTGTACCATCTAAACTTTTGATAAATATGTTTTCATATGGCAAACCATACATTGATGGCTGTGATACAAAAATACGAGAGTGATCAGGCAGGTCTGGATAATATAATAAGTAGTCTTCCGAATGGTAAATAAAACCTAATGATAAAAAATATTAAAATAAGGACCAATGATTTAGCACGATATTAGGGTGTACAACCAATAGAATGAATTTACTTACCAACAATACTCATTAGCAAAAAAGATAGTGCCACTAATCCACCACAGAACCAGTATATCAAAAAAAATGTGATGACTGTTGCTCCAGCACTGAGAGCGCCGAATGCCATATAACATTTTGTTGATATAGTTCTCCAAAGAGGCAGGCTCAGTTTGTCCTCACGGACAAACCATGTTTGCAGTCGTTCCATTACAAGACAAGTTTGATTACACTACAATTAAATAGATCATAGAATATTAAAGCAGAAACTGTTGACCCGTATTCTTTAAAATCTTACAAGGAATTACAAACCCAAACATATTAGACCCGTGTACAAATGGAAGAATATGGACCTTTCGTATATAAATCCTTGTTATATGTCCACCATTGTTATCAAGGTCTTACCTGGGAATCAAACGTTGTTTTTTTTTCTCTTCGTTTTCTGCCCGCTTTCCATTTTACATTGACCAATTGACACCACGGAGACAATGCGATTCGCGAAAATCGAAACTGTAGCGCAAAAATAAAATCAGAAAGAGAAACAAGTATTTAATAATACTTCTGTTTGTGAGGACGATGAAAAAAGTGCGTGAGCCCAACAAAGCTGTAAAAAGTAAATAAATTTAATCAAAAAAACGATCTCCGGTCCCAATAAACGCTATCAGAATATTATATTAATATCACGATGCTTATTGCATTTATAGTTGTTATCTACATTTTAAACATGAAAACCGAGATACCTAATACTAATACGAAACGGAACGAATTTCTGTCCAGTAAAACAGTGAACAGTTGCACTGTTACAGTTAATTACGGTCGCTGTAGACGGTTTGTCGTTATTCTATTCTATTAATCATTTATATTATTGTAACTGAAATATAACATAATTATACATTAATAAAAACAACTAAGTATCCGAAAATCAACATAGAAATATTAAATGTACTGTTATCAGGTCGAATTATCAATGAGTTTATCGTTCGTGCAATCAGGTTACAGATAACCCTGGCTGCCAGCCACCACATAGGTCATAGAGTAATATTACTCTATATAGACGTATAGCATACACTACCACCACGGCTATAGATTACTATTTTTTTCAGACTTTCAGAGTAACTTCAGCCGTGCTACTACCCCAAGGCTTATAGATGATGTAGTACCTGTTTATTATTTAATAATATCTATGTAAAACTTAGACTACCCGATTTAAAATATTTAAGATTGTGCTGACCATCATAGATGTCAGATATTAATCATACATTCATACATTATGTTTTATACATAGGTATTGTAATATATTTAGTACAATGATATAAACAACACGAATTAATCCGTTATTAACACTTGTATATTCTTTTAAAACGTTATATATTCGAAAGACCCTCACGGCACGAACCGTTACTGAGTACTGACAACTAACTAACTGTTAACGGATGATAACAGTCCGTAACATACAATATATAATGTTATAAAATATGTTGCCATGGAAGATAACATATTATTAACCTTACAGTATTGCATTATATTATTTATGATCCTGACGAAATAGACTCTATCTGCCTCAAAATTTAAAAGTAACTTGAATATCGAAGTATTCAAATTTTCTTTACACGTCCGGTAACATGCGGTAATCTTACAAGAATCGTGTATTCAATTTTCAAGAATTTTAACTAAGCAATTTTTTTTTATTGACAAGACATTTAAAAAGTTAGTAACTGCTCTGCTATACGATAGGTAGGTGACGAGTGTAGTGTGTACTATGTCTGAGTATATTATGAGTCTAAAGAGTTATCTGTTAACGTGTTAAGTGTAGTTGTTTGCTGAATGCAGGATAGTCGAGTTAATTGAATAGTTGAACATCGATGTATAGCTGATACAGTTATTATTTGAGCATTCAATTTATTTTGTAAAATCCTTTGATAAGTTAAATTTGAATGTAGTTGGTTTGGTAAATACATGGATCTATGACTTGTTTAATTCAAAAAAAAATTACCTAGGTACATGAATATTGTCTATTGATGCGTATATACTCAGTGAGAACTAGAAACAGCAAACCTAACCTAACTATATGTGTAGTACGAACATTTAGATATCTTAGGGGCTGCTTAACAGATTTCAATGTTTCCTAGGTGATTATACATTCTTGGATAAATATGTTAATACAATTTACGTACCTGTGCACAGTACTGCAGTAGGTAGATTCTTTTGAATGACTTCACAGGATGAAAGCCCACCGAGCAAATGGAGTCAATTATTTTATAAAAATTAAAGATAATATAAAACACTATATTTTGAATTGTTACAAAGACAGTGTAAATTTAATAAAGGTACTTTAGGTTAATGAGTCGATATTATGGCTTAGTTATTGCTAGTTCAGAACGGAGTACCAGTATATTGCTTAAGGCAGAAACGGCTGTAGGAGACGGAATGGCTATGGTGTTGATATTGGATTTTTCTTATATTTGATTGACCTTTGATATTTTTAGTTGTTAGACTTAATTACTTATCATTTTTAGATATTAATTTTGATACACAGTACCGTCATATTATTAAGTCTTGAATTACATTTTAATGTTAATGTTTTTATATTTTTATGTCAAGTGTTTTAGTTTATGATGTGCTTATTACGGTTTGTGATGCGTGACGTAATGTGCATAATATCATTAGTCATTACAATCTACAATTGTCCGTCGCGTCATCATGTTAGACATGTTACTTTGCTGAGCAGTAGATGGGAGATATTGGTAAAATATTATGTTTATATAGGGCGATCGTTTCACACAAACCAACCTACTCGACTATATAGTAAGTTATAAATCATGTAAAATGTATATTGATATTTGGTATCTGTCTCGGTCTGTCGCTGTAATTTACATAATTTACATAATACCATTATTACCTCATCTGCACATTATTTTCCGTATTATACAACGCTAGGATAACGCAAATATCCTATTATAAGTTATTACAGGATATTACGTATATTAGTTCCTATAGGTACTGGTCGTCGCCTCAATGCACATTCACGCGGACGTGGACAGTCGTCCGTGGTGGAAGGATTTCGCGAGGGCGTATTGCCTGCGAGTTGGGGAGTGTTGCGACTAGTGATTAACTTCAAACGGTCATGGTATGCGATGTATGATGGCGGCGAATACACAAGTCAAGTGATATGAAATCTGTAGCCACCGGCAGCGCAATTCAGCCGTCGCTGAGATCCCAAAGCGTAATAGAAGTAAACGGTGGACTACCGCACGGGTCCTGATGGCTGATTTACTGTATAATTATAGCCTCGTCGATAATGTCTGCATCCGGTCGCCGCCCTTGCACCGTACGGCGTACTCGGAAACTGCTGGGTCGGTACTACTGACGTTTTTATTTTCTATTCTAAGATGCTAGTTACCCCGTACAGCCTCTGCCGTTAATAGGTCGCAATCATATGGTCACCACTAATCGGGGTCGCATCATTGTCGTCTCGTATACCAATAACGGCAATAACCGTCGTACCACTGTGGCACTGTTGTTCGTTTCGCCTGTCACACCGGCAGCAGTAACGGAACCTGGTATGGTGGTGAGCGGGAAGTGTGTGGAAAGGACAGGGATTTATCTCCAGACGTATTTTTTTTACGAGCCTATATTTAGTGTTTGCTGTTAGAACTTTAAAAGATAGAATACTATTTTTAGTTCACATAAATTGTTTACGATGTGGTTATGGCCACATTCGAAAGAAGAAAATCATTTAAAAAAAAATCATACGCAGCGTAAAACAATAATCATTAATCGATACCTACTACACCGCATAGATGCGCGATCAGCCGGCATATGTCGACAAAGTTCAAAGAGCTGTCTGTAGTGCACTGTACAGACTACCTACAGACTTTTAATAAAATAAAATGTAATAATCGTTATTGTGACGATGTGGACGAAAAAATACACATAGTTAATAATACTCATCAAGTTTAATATTCCATAATTACAAGTTCGATTCAAGTGGTGGCAACTGGCAACATAGCCTAGGGCGGAATTTGGAGGGGGCAATATTGAAAATTTTAGTATTCTAAACAATTTTCATAAAGATTACACATTAACACGACACAATATTAACACATCGTGTGAATTAAAAAATAAATAAATATTAGTTATTTTGTTAGCATTTTTAACAAACGACACTTTAAATTTGTAAATAATAATGTAAATAGTAATTGTTCTCGAGCTTAAAGATCAATAATGAATAAATATCGATAGTACAAAATATTATGAAATTGTTGAAAATAGAGATGGTTGGAAGAGGACATGGACATCTGTCCCATTCTGCCACATTATGTTACGACCGTCGTATTTTAGATCTAAAAATAGATACTTCGGCATGTTTGGAAAAATTACATCGGCTGATTATAACATTAAGTGACGACAATTATTGATAATTATTTTATTTTTCAACTTTCTGACTGAATAGTGAATACATTTAAATTAGATAGTTATGCTGCTTATACCTATATAATATAATTATAAATTATAATAAATTCTTTTAAATTGTATAATAATACACTTAATTTGTTTTTATTATTTCCTATGCAGGATGACGTGGATAATGGTCATTAACTGCTACTAAATATATTAATTTGTGAACATGTAAATCCTACAACAATTTAAAATAAATCTCAAAATATCTTGCTAAATTATATAACGTATATAAAAACAAAAGAATTAAATTATTGTCAAAAAGATTTTTTTTTAAATCTTAGTGCCAATTGCAAGCACGCAATCTCTATTTACAAAATATGAGTTGACTTGCTTTTTAATAATTAGCGGTCTCAACTCTCAGTACATCGTATGATACAATCTAAACATATTCAATATTATCTCTATTTATAAGTGGTTTGTTTAACCACATTTATTATGGGTTATATAGGTAAAGTAAATCAACATAAAATCGTATGTTAAATTCTAATAGGTACTTAGTACTTACTTAAACAGTAAATTTATCAATGAATTGTTAAGCATACTATTAATTAACGTTCAACCATTGTGATGAAGGGTGATACATTGTTACCTACTTTGCGATGTCTAATTTAATTTGTAAAAATCATGCGATTTGTCATTTTAGAGTAGAATAATGCAACCAATCTTGGTTATATATTACATATTATTAGTACTATGATTTGAAAGTAGAAAAATCGGGAAACTCATTTTACATATAAATTATAATATAGGTACTAATAAAAATAGTAGATATCGAGTGTATACTTTTTCATTGAGAAAGTCACTATAATGGATGAATTAGATTTTAATTCAATGATAAATTGAACTAATTACCAGTCCATGCTTCTAAAAATAGTTTATTATTATATTTTCACAAGTAATTTATTTTAAAATAGGAGATTTTAATTATTTATATCTAAAATCACTTTAAAGTAGAAAAAATATTTTGATTTTCTCTTCAATATCTTAACTAGCAGAAAATTAAAGTTGGTTTTTTGAAGGGTTAAAACTTAAAAGTAAAAATGTTTTATACTTTCATGTTTTATATAAATAAATGAAAGGAAAAAAATTAAGAAACCATGTACATCACGCATAGTTGAGAATTTTTACTTAATATTTTATATTTTTGAACATCTTCAGTGAGATTGTGACATATATTAATTAATTGATGTATGTTATTGTATTAACCCGATACATATATACATAGGAATGAGAACCTATGATCTACATAATATGCACAATGCACATTTATAAATAGTAATTGTGTTAATGTGTTATTTAATTCCAAATTGTGACTTATTAAAAATTAATTTTAATTTTCTAATATTCCAGTCAACACTGGTGGAGGGAACGTAAGAGACATAACTATAGTATTGGAGATAAAATGTTTTTGAATAATTAACAGTCAATAAGTAGTGTTAAAAATATATTTTTAATTGTTTATATATTATCTTTGGTAATCTAAACAGTAAAAAAAAGTAATAAAAATGTATCACACTTAATTAGTATTATTCATTTTATTATAATACAGACGTACTATAAACACTTATAATATCATATAAAAATACATCAGATTATTTTTTTAACTATATTTTAAAGAAGCATGTACAAAAAAATAAGTCAATTTTATTTAAAAGTATGTTCAGTTCTAAGAAAAATGGAATAGGTTTCGCCTATCTACTCACATTATTCAATAATTTATGATTTCTGAGGAAATGAAAATTATGCGACGTCATTGGACTGGACTTGACGTAATTACCTATTTAATATATAAAATTTACTTACTTTATGCGATAATCAAGTATCTTAAAACTTTTATTACAAATATTTAATGTTTTTAGACAAAAGTAATTGAATCAAAATTTCAATAGCAGTTTTTTTTTAAATATTTAAAATCTTATGAGTATTTTTTGTTAAACAAACAACAACATTCACTTATTTGATATAATAAACAAGATCTGTTTATGTACTAACTCAAATATTTTTAATGTTTACAAATTAAACGCATATTAAAATTTTAATTCTTTTTTCGTTTTTAGCATAAAAATCACGCTTTCATTAATCAAATATCCAAAATATAACTTTTGGGTATATAAATAATGATGTGAAGTAAACAAATTTTACATGTGATAGACAATTACAGTAAGCTCAGTAAAATGACATTAAGTAAAAATAATAACATTTCCAAAATATAATAATTTTTTTTTTTTGAATGGATTTAATATCAATTTTTTCTTGATAGATAGGACTAAGAATTAACATCTATTCTGTAATAATAATTTAAAGAGATGACTATTTTGTAATATATGCTCCTTTAAGTATTTAAAAATAAATGTAAAAAATAGTTTTGTAAAATAATAAACAAATAATAAAAAATTATCATTTAGTTAACATTATAAAATTAATTAATTAATAATGTATGATGTTGGTAAAAATATGCAGGGAGTTTTGAAATCTACATTACAAAAATGGTAGGCATTTCAATACAATTATAATAAAACACCCATTATTTTAGTATTATATTCTAAAATATATCCAATAGATAATTATATTTTACAAATGTTTTTAATTTGTATTAATGATGGTATGCTTAAATCAATATTGAATAGTGAATTATGAATTGATTTAAATAATAAATTACAAAATAATGTAGGAATTACACAGTATTCATGAACTAAATTAACAATGAATGAGCAAAAATTAAATTGTAAAATACTAATCTTAAATAAGAGATTATAATTGGCATTTTAAATAAAATTAAAAGTGATAAATACATTAATTTTATTAATAAATGTAATCAATATAATCATTATAAAATAATGGACATTTTAGAGTAAGTAAGCTAAAAGAAAAAATATATTATTTTCCATTATATTTCTTAGATAGTTGAGCCCATTATCACAGGGCGATTTCAAACTTAATTATTGTATTATTTACAACTTTAAATTTGAATTGACTAAATTAAAAAGTTGAAAGATACTTATTAATCATAAAAAAAAAAAATTGTCCATCAGTTAAAAATTATAAACATACAAATTGTATAAATATAAAAAAAAAAAAACAAGTAAAAATAGTTTTAATAGTATTAATTGAAAATTGATAAAATAAAAACAAAAATTTAAATAATTAAAATAGTTTTTTTTTTTATATATATATATATAAACATCACTTATGTAATAATTTAAATTTTTAAAAAATTGTCCAAGTAACTAAATACAATATTATCTTAATACCATAAAATAATATTATGAAAACATTATCTTGTTTCCCATACCTTAATTATTTTTCAAGAAGCCCATCTGGATTTTTGTAAGTCAATTTGCCCTTCTAATGTTTTGGCCAAGTTGATAATAAGAAGCTAAAATATGAAATATTTATAATAAATTGTTGACATAATTAAATAAAATTTTGTTCATAGTTACCTGAGATAAAGCAACACCTAATGCTACTCCTGCAATTGTATATAAATTTCTTTCTGCCCATATACGAATAACTTCAATACATCCACTAGTCCAAACTCTTTTACTGGCTTCAGCAACCTTATATATATATACAAATATTACAAAATATGGGTATTATAAATGTATATGATATATTATATTTATTTATTATACACTTACAGAACTATCTTGAGCACCATAACCACACATGACATTTACCAGTCCTTTCTACAAAATAATAAATGGCAATAAATATTAAGAATACAGTTAAATACAAAAAAAAGTTATACATACTGAAATATCTGTTGCGTTGATACAACATGAATAGGGCACCCCACACTTCTCGACGCTTGGTGATGTGCAATTAAAATATTCATTTTTGGACCAATCAATATATCCTTCTGAACTAAGACCACAACATTGAAACTACAACATAATATATAAGTAAAATTTTTAATATATAACTATTATTTTTATACAAAATATTTTTACTTCTTTCTGAGCAAAATCTATGAGGTTTTGTAAATCTGGATCATCACGATAAGTATGAATAATTTTATCAGTAAATGACTCTTCCAAAGTAGCTTGCATGTTGTGTGGAAATGCAAATCCAACAATTGCAATTCCCATTTCAAGTAGAAAGAATATTAAAAGACACAATGAGTACTGAAAAAAATGTTTCTTATTAAGTTATCTAATATTATATTTATAAATGCAGTTCTAAAATTAAAATTTAACTTCAAAAATAAATATATTTTGATAAGCATGAGTCAAGGCACGACTATTAATTCCTTGGCTAATGTTAAATTGTTGACTTTAAAATTTGACAATCATAGTTACAAAAAACTAATTCAAATAAAGATAGTTAATATTTGTTTAAATTTATATTTATTAATTCTATGTAAATATTTAACAACTATTAAAATTCTTATAGAATCTCCAGTAATGTTAAACATTATATCGTAGTTCATTATGAAAAATAATAAGTTTATAAGCAAATCAATAGTTTGGTTTCCAAAGATCGCATGTTAGTTGAAAAACAATTTCAATGACTTATTGGCTGTCTATCCAATTTATATGTTCATAAATGAAGGAAGTCTTAAATTTATCAACAAGGTATAACTTTTATAATGTTATATCAACATTCCAATTGACTAACAGCTGCAATAATATTATTGATAATATTGCAGCTTATTAAGGAATTATTTATTGCTTATTCAGTAGTTAATATAGAGGAACCATGCTGTTCATCAAAACTACTTTTATAAGTAAAACCATTTACACTCTAAATACATTTTCCCCAGTTTAGTCATAGCATTTTATTTTGAAATGGAAATTATAATTATTAACAATTTCCTAAATAAAAATAACCATTACATGTTACAATTTTCTTCCTGCACATCTTAGAAAATAGATAAATCTAGATAACAAGATGAATAGCCTAGTTCATGACTAAAAGCAATATAACAATATTGTTGATATAGTAAATCATAAGATAAAATATAACTCTAAAACACACACACGCATATATATATATATTATAAATAAAAATTTATTTCATATAAAATAATTAAAAATCTTTAAAATATTTTATTTATATAATAAAACATTTACATTTTCTCTATTTATTAAAAGTTTAAAAAATAAGTTAAAAATTACGAATTAACTTTAGTTAATTCAGGAAGGTAGTAATTAAAATAAAAAAATTCCATTTTTCTGACTAATTTTTCAAGAAATAAATCGTCTCTCTTAACAGAAACAGTTATGCAATCAGATTTTGTGCAAACAAATAAATCACATTCCTCCATCCCAGTACAATACATTTGAATTTGACATTGTGTAAAATAGTTGTGATTTTGTTTTAAATCAATAGTATTTTTTTCTTTGTTGTATTTTAAATATGGAATTCTAAGGTTTCCATTATCTTCATCAATCAATAAGGTATCTTTACAAGTGTATGGACACTTTACCTCCAATAACTTTGTTACAATATTGTTATGAATGACTAAACCATCTGGACTTGCACAAATCCAAGGTTGTTTTTGATGTATTACCAGACCACACTTCATAACATTAACATTATGTATGAGTGAATACTTTTTAATAGCAAAATCTTCCATTCTAATTCCATATTCCACATATTTTAAACCTTTTCCTACAATTTTTTTGTCTTTTACAAAACGTTCAGCTAATTCCTCGTTCCTATTACGTCTAGTACTTATTTGATGAGCTTTAGAACTTGCTGAGAGTCTTGTTTGCCTATGTAATCTCCAAGCACTATTGTTTGCTTGTTCTATAGTACTATACATTAGATTAAATATTTTATCTCTATCAATAACAACATATTTTTCATAAAAATTCAGTTGGCTGTCAGTCATTGGTTTTAAACTGTTAGTATACAATGGAGATTTGTTTTGGATATTAAGTAATTCATCATAACAATCAAGTTGTTTAAAAATAATCGTATCATTATAATTGGGTTTTGATTTCTTAAATTTATCAATATTTTTTGTACTGAAATTTGGTGACTGTACAACTTTTAGATTGCTGACAAAAACATTTGCAATCTGGGCAGCAATATTTTTGAAAGGTAACTGAAATTAAAGGGAATAGTATTAAAGTTTAAGATTGATGTATTTTACATTAACCTAATGTAATTTAAAAATGAACAAAAATGAACAAAAAATAATTACAATAATTAAAAGTAACTCACAATTTTAAAAGTTCTAAAAATCATTTTTAAAATATTACACCAAACATAACATATTATTTTGAACACTAATATAAATTTATAAAACAAATATGTAAGTACTACCCTACCTAATTTTGAGTTTATATGCATGAGTTTTTAACTAAAATAATTAAAATTTTTCTATCATTTAACATTTATGTAAATAAGTGTTAAATAAATTCCATGGAAACAGATTTTCAAAAAAGTTTTGTATTTTTTGATAGCCAAATTTTAAACAAATACATAAAAACCTCTTAAAACAGGACACTTTTAGTCGCTAAAACTGCATAATGTTCCCAAAAAACGTCTACTAATTGGATGGGTCTAATGGACGGTCATTTTATACTATAATTAGTAAAGTTATAACTTTTAGTTTAATAACAAAATGACTTTTCTTAAGAGTAAATGTTCATCATTCATTAAATGATTAAACATAAACTACCAATTTTATATTTATCAATAAAAATAGATAGCAGAGGACATTTTAACTCATACAAATACAATTTTCTTTGGATAATATGCCAGTGACAATGGACCATTTAAAATATAAATATTATAAGATACTAAGATTGATTAAGTAAATACTCACAAATTTAAGAAGTGTTGTATTTTCACGTAGAGCACCAATACATCCAGCAAAGCTAACAATGAATATAATTTGTCCAGCTATAATCAGAACTAGCGAGATATTAAGTATTACGTCTGAGAATGTATTCAACTTGATAGAACCCATGGTATTCCATTTTTCATAAAATGCAAATGTACCGGCTGCCACCAACAATCCACCAAATAACTAAATCAACAATTATAAAGATATATTTAAACTATTGGATTAACAAATAGTTGTTTAAATTAATAATTAACATAGCAATATACATAGAAAACACATACCCAAAACAGAAAGTTCAGCAAAAATATCATGTATTTGACGCATGGACTGACATATGTGAAATTGCTCACACGTCTTCGATTCATTGCCACGGGCATGTTTACAACACGGGCGTTTGATCCACACTAGTCAAGCAATGATGAGAGGTGACTGTCGTATTGCATACCAGAAGCAATAAAACGACACGTGAGACTTGTTAGGAAAAATATATTTTTATTATCTACAAATACAATTTAAAACAATATTCAGAAACAATAATAACGGCACAACGAATATCAATTCGTTAATGATCTTGATGTCTAACTATCTGATGTATGAAACAAACGATTATTCTTATTCTTATTATTATTATTACCGTTTCTTTTGTTTACAGTTGTGAAATCAAATTTATTCTTTGTGTATGGCCGTGGACAATTTAATGGCACACGCCCCGAATGTCTGGAGATTAACAACGTTCACGAAACGTAATAATAATACAGAACCAGACTTAGACATGTTATTAAATTCTTGATCATATAATGTCAAAAAAGTTTTATCCGCAATAATTATTGTCGTGAGACGTGGGTGAGATCCGATGAAATTAGTTTTAGACGTTTCAGTGTTACGATAGTTCGGTACTCACTGGTCAGTGGTCACCCGTCGACCGTCACTATAACTATTAACTAATAAAATAATAAAGTAATAAATATTAAATAATAACTATAACTAAAACTCACTACTCACCACCCGTTAATAGCGGTAGTAGTCATAAAACAAAGGAAGCTATGAGTACAGTTGTAGTTGTATTTAAATAAACATAAAATCGACGTATGTGTGTGTGTGTGACTTATAGAATATAAACATTTTACATTATACACTACAGTCTACAACGACCTCACTCATCATTCGCCAACTATATATAAACATTAAAAACTTTACCAGCAATCACAACTTACTATTGTTACGATTCAGTGATAACAACATGCAAAGAAGTTCGAAACTCAATATTTATATCACTAAATTATTATTATTATTAAAAAAATAATAAAATAATTTAAATTAATAAATTAAATTTAGTATTTTATATAGTCTGTGATACCTACTATACATTTAAACATTTATTTTGCATAAAAAATTTATCACCTTGAAAATGTATACGCGCTGAACATAGACCGCCGATTTAATCGGAGCGGGAATACTACGGGGCTTTAGGGTGGCATTTGCAACTTGCGCAGTTTTAATCTTTTTTCTATGGTGATACTATGATAGTTGTCCCTTCTCTCGCTAGACAAAGTACAGGTACTACAGGTACTATTGATTTGTTATTATGATAAGCGATTTCTACGTCATCACTCATCGTACTTCTTTAAAAAATATTTTTCAAGTCTAGGTATGGTGTTCTACAATATTGCAAGTTGCAACTAGTATTTGGTAATAATATATTTATAGTAAATTACTAATTATATTTTTTATTACGTACTTGCTTTGAGACACCGTATTATTTTTCAAGTGATTTTTCAAATTATTTTTCGTCTTACATATATTATTAATACTATAGTAGTTACCTACATAGATATTTTATTTTTTTGCATTTCTATATTGTATTTTGCAAAATGTCAAATAATCGATACGTAAGTAATTCCTCGCGAGGAATATTTGACGACGATGATGATGTAGACGACAATGAATTTTTGTCCCGTGTTCGACCTAACGTTAACTATAGAAACGACCTTTTGGGTAATCATTTTGGCAATCAAGAATTAGAAAATGCTCATAGACAAAAACAGCAAGTTATAGAAACAACAAGAGATGTAGAACAAAGAACTTTACAGTCTACAGAAAGAACATTACGTTTACTCAGAGAGTCTGAAAATATTGGTACTGCTACAGCTGAAGTAAACAATTTTAAATAAATATATTTAAATAAATGATAATAATAATTTAATTTAACTTTTACAGGAATTGGTTAGACAAAGAGAACAGTTACAAAATACTGATAAACGGCTTGATGAAATTAATTCTAACTTACGTGTCAGCCAAAAACATATACAAGGAATTAAAGTAAATAAATTATAATTTATATAAAAAAATTATGTGTATATCATATTATACCATAAGTTAATATTATTTGCATATGGTTAAGAGGAAATCGTATCTGCATGACAATTGTGTTGTTTTTATCTTACTGATGCATACCATACCAAAGTTTGGCAGTTTCAATTTTGTACATTTATCTTAAATATTAGCTTGAAATACCCTATTATCAAACTTATTGGTATAAATATTATATATATAAATGTTTTCTCATTGATTTTATATAGTATTTTAATTTTTAAGCGAGTTATGAGTATATAAAGTATTAATATTTAGAAATACTCATTATTCATTAAAAAATTATATCATTAGAAACCGACAAAAGAATTTAAATTATATTCTTATCTTTAAGTTGATAATAGGTCAATTCACACTAATACTTAAGTTAAACATACAAAATTGGAACTGCTGAATGTATATTTTTGTATGGTATGCATCATTAAAATGGAGACAACACATGCAGATTAAATGTTCTATTAAAATATCAGATTCTCAGTGTACTATTGGGTTTCTCTCTCAAACAATTCAAACTTTGGCATAACATTCAAATTTTGTTAACTAATTATATGTTGTTAGCTTTAATATTAAAGTGAATTGATATCTTAATAAATCTCAAGTGAAAAACATAATCTATGTTTGATTGTTGGCTTGTTTTTTACAATATTTCTATTTTTCTGTAATATATGAGTATTTTTAAATTGTAATAGTTTACTTAGATGCTTATAATTAATTGAAATATCATAAATAAAAAATCATGTTTAGTCATATATTTTTTTCCTAATTTTAATAATAGGTGGGTTAATTAACTTTTCTTATATTAGTTTACATCACAGTATTAGATATACTGAACGCAAATTTACTAAGTTGAATGTTGGTCAGTGATAAATAAATAGTCTATTAATATCTTCTGAATGATTGGTGATTAAATTAATTTTTAATTTTTTTTACCTATATTATGCACTGATTCGTTTAATATTATTTAACTGTTTAAATTAGGTACTATAATTTATTATAATTACTTTTTTGAACTATGGTATTTTGTAGAGTATTTTTGGAAGTTTTAAAAATATGCTTAGTGGTAAATCAAACTTACCATCTCGTAGTGTATCAACTGAAGTCGAGCCAACAGCTCCATTAACAAATGAAGTTCGTAGAAGTACATTAAGTGAAACCTTAATGCAAGCAAATTCTAATATTAGCTCTATGGATCAACATCCTGGTAATATAAATATATTTTATTTCTTCATAAATTATGTAAATAATATGATTTTGAAATTTTAACTAGGTTTAAGAATCAGAGGATTGGTAGATAATGAATCAACTACACCAACTGATGTACAATCTAGTTTAGATAACAATTTGGATGAAATTCTTGGATCAGTAACTCGATTAAAAGGTTTATAAATAATTATAAATAATGTTTACTAATTTATTCTTAAATAAAAATTGGTAGTTTTTAACAAAAACAAAATTGTAAATAAATAAATATTTTCTTGTATCTTTTTAACATTTATTACTGTATTTATAGGTTTAGCATTGGGGCTTGGTGGAGAAATTGATTCTCAAAATGATTTAGTCGAAAACATTATTGGTAAAGCAGACAAAGCTGACATAAATATGGAGCGCCAAAACAAAGAGATAAATCGTATTTTAAAAAAATAATCAATTATATTGTGTAACATTCCTATCACATTAGATATAATTTTAAAATAAGATTTTTATTATAATTACTTATAATATCATACCTTATTTATACATTTATTATGGAACTTATTTCTCTATTTATGTTTATATTTCCAATTTTTTATGTTAGCTATGAAGTATTAGAATCATTGAAGTATGTATCATAATATGTGTCAATTACATTAATGAAGTAAATATTTGTATCAATTATATTATTTACTCATTAGTCATTTGTATACTAATTAATAATGCTTTGCACAATAATTATATGGTGTTTTCATCTTTCAAGTCTATAGTTATATGTTATACTTTATATTGTATAAAATTTTAAAAATATGTGTTTTAAATTATATGATTTTATAAGTTTATAACTACCATACGAATTATAAATACATTTTATTTACTCTCAAACCTTGTAATAATTAAATAATTTTAACACATGTAATAAAAGAAAAATCTCTTATGCCAGGTTGCATGAACAGTTACTAATCATTTAATGAATCAATGGTGAGCTAATGGTCCCTTAAACATGATTTAGTAACTAATGATTCACTATTTGAAATTTGAAGTGATACTTATTAGATAAAGTGTAGTTCAGTTATTAAAATCAAAATTTTTATCTCCCATTCTATCCAGATAAATATTGTCATTATTTTTTTTATCCTTATCTAGATAAATGTTAAATTATTATTGAGTAAAAATATTATTACCCTGTCATGCATTAATTTCAGTAAAGACTTAGTGACAACCGTGATAAAATAATAAATGAAATAGCTATATACGAAAACGTCAAGTTCTAAACAACACAATAAACATCCATTATTGAAGATGAACATATTATATTATGATTAAAGACTATATGTTGCGTATATTGGAGCGTTCCATAATAGTTTATATTATGTAATATTAAATATTTTGATGATAGATAGGTATATTTCGTTTATGAGATAGATAAGTATCATGTATATGTTTGTTGCGAATTTTTAAATATTTTTGATTTTCATTGATGAAGTAAAGGGATTTAAAATAAAATGTTATGTGTTTTGATGTTTTATTTTTGTTGTCTGTTGATGTTATTTTTTGAATTTTTTTGTGGTTATGAAAGGATAATTTTTGTTATTTTAAGAACTTTGATTTAAGTAAATGATGTACACATAAGGATTGATACACGATTTAAAAAATTTAAAATGATACCAAATATACTTGTATTTGATTTTGTTACTTATATTATTTTCGATGTATCCAGTGAATTGAGATCATGCACTGATTTCTTATATTTCTTTAGTTTATCTTTGTTGTTTTTAACTATTCTTTTATGAATCACAGGTCCCAGTTATATAATTAATATATTATTTATCATCAATAATGTATTGTAAAAAACAATATATATCAATAAAAATATATAATTTAATGTGTCAGAAAAATGCGTTTAAAAATTATAGATTATAGAGTGGTGATATAATAACGATTATTATTTATTACTGAATGTTCGGATGATAAGTGTAAAAATATTTGTTTATAGTGAAGATAATAAAAGAAAAACTACTTGTGGTTATAAAAGATTGAATGGCATTCTTTCATAGACAGTATAATTAATTAATCAACCATTATGTCCGTGAAAAGTCCAACACTAATAATGTTCGAAGCTGATTTCGAGACGTTTAATCAACGTCACCTGTTAACTCACGTATCACCCAAATTCGTTGACTATCGCCCGAACATGTAGTTTGCTACTATACCTTATTCGTTTATTTTCAATCAGAGCTTAATATATGATGAAATACTTTATAAATATTATGGTTAACGACTTGTATCTTTTTTTCAATTCAAATGTTTTTCCCAAGAAATTCTTAGAGTATAAATTTGTTTTTAGCTTCTGTCATATCAGTGTACCCCTAGAAAGAACAGTTTATGGTTATAATAAATTGAATGGTATTTAAAAGTTATTTAGACGATAACATTTTATTTTATTTTTGAAACAAATTTAAAAAAATGATCATTTGTATGAGTTTATTTTTATAGGAAAAATGAAGTGACTAAGTGAACGGCGAGAATGCCGTGTAAATACTAAATAATTTTGTTTATAGTTCAAAAATGGTGATTATTTATATTTATAAGTCTTTTTTATGTTGCGTTTATAGTTTATACCTATTCTGAAGTTTTCTTGATGGATTAAGTGTAATGTTTTTATTTTCGTGTTTGTTCTCTTCATTGGCAGATAATTATTGTGGTTAAACGTTTCGCCATCGTGTTTTCGTAATCCTTCGTTTCGGTTTATATTGTTTTATATTATCCTTATTCATGCTAAATTGGACAATTTAGATTGTTTAGAATGACGATAAATTATAAAGAATTATAATGGTCATCATTACGGGATTCGATTTAATTAAGTTTTCACTTATTGGTTAAACTGAATTTTTGCTACATTATCGGTAAGACTGAAGGAAGAAATAAATTAATTTCATAATATGAAGTTACAATTTATAATATAAAAATTTAAATTAAACTTACGTAAAATGATTTAAATATTATCATATACTGAAAATAATTAATTGACTAGGGGATAATGGTTTATTATAATTGCCTTGTATTTATTACACGCATTGTGATGAAAAATTCACAAAAATATTTTATAAAAATAAGTTGTTAATATTGTAGGCATTAATGTATATATTAATTTTTACCTATTTCGTAGACTTAACATTTCTTCTACTAATGTTTCTAAATTTTTGGATTTCGACACCGAATTTTCACTGTTGCTGTATTTAGCCACCTCACAGCTAAATTGCACAATTTAAAATAACTATTAATTATATGCTATATTAAAGGTCATCATAACACTACTCGATTTAGTTTCGTTTTCGTATCACATTATATAAGTTTTGGTAAGCTTTTTCCAAACTATCAGTAAGTAAGACTGAGGAGATAATATATGAAATTAATTGTGTGTGGTCATAAATGAAGTTACTAGGTAAGTATAATTTGTGAATATATTTGTATTTATTAAAATAATATTCACAATGCTTGTAGTGATGAAAAAACAGTAAAAATATTTATAAAAATATGTTATTAATATTTTAGATATTATTAATGTACACATTACATTTTTACTTGTTACATATACTAGTCTGTTCATTTGGATAATCTATAATTTCTTTTGTAATTTCCTCTTTGTTTGGAGTTTTATTAGATGGTTTCGTAGTCTGATATACCTTTTTTTTTTCTGTATCCGTTTGTTTTTTAGTGGTATGTATCATTTGAATACTAAATGGAATGGTTTATAGCATGTTGGTAAATTTTATAGTATGTTAACATTATTATTTAACGATTTGATTAAGTTTTTGTATCAAAATAAGCATAAAGAATTGGTTAAGTTTTTATAAAACTAACAGTGAGACTGGAAGAGACAATAAATTAAGGTTATGATATTATATTGATAAAATACATATACTAAAATTACAATTATTTATTATTTTTATAAATATGTGTTGTAAAAAATGAGGTGATTAATAAATTTATTTGTACTTAGCACAAATCATTGCATTGGATAAACCATAAAAGTATTTTATAAAAGACTTAAGACATATTTTCAACATTACTAGTTATAATTTACTTATAGATGTTTTACCTTTTCCGAAGTTTTTGTAAATGGTCTAACATAAAAAAATTTTCTTTATCTGGAGTTGTTTTCATCATTTTAACAGAAACATCATTTGTGATTGAAGGAGCTGGTTTATCTTTTATTGACACTGTGGTAGGTTTCGCACTTTGTTGGTATGTATGAATTGATGTCCCAGATAAGTTTGATGTCATCTTACTGTTTAATTGAATGTTTTAAAATGTCGATAAGTTTTAGAGTATTAAAATTTCATCATTTAATAGTTTGAATAAAATGTTTAAAGAAATGCATGTCCTTTAAATCATTACAGAAGTTTCCAAGACGATAAGCAAATGTAGAGCTGTAAAGATTAAATTTTTTAATTGTTTTTTTTTTTTTTTTTTATGTTAAAAGTCTGAAATTTATGAGAGGTATGACATATGTATGAACTAAATTTAAAAATTTATAAAGTTAATGTAAATAATATCATATGTCAGAAATTATTAAGTGACTAGTTGATCATGCATTGTGAATTTGCTTGTTATCAAATTGAACAATTTTTGTAATGGAGAAACCACAAAAGTATTTAAAAAAATCATATTTTAAAAATTGTAGGTATTATAATGTATTTATAGATTTTTTACTTTTCCTGAGATTTTTTTATTAACTCTTCACTATAGTAGTCAGTTTGTTTCGTCCAGAATGATTCAACTACTGGCACAAAAACATTATCTGTGGTTGGAGCTAGTGAGTTTTTTAATGACATTTTAGTTATTTTTGCAGTTTTATTTTTTGCAGTTTTATTTTCTGCAGTATTCGTTTTTCTCAGCTTGACTTTTTTCATTTCACTGCGAAAATTAATGCCTTATAATAACGATCAATTATACGAAATTTTAAAAGTCATCATTTCACTACGATTTATTTTGTTTTTCGTATCAAATTATATTATACATATTTAGTTAGAATTTTGCCAAGCTATAAGTGTAACATTTTAGTAGAGAATATATTAAGTTTTTATAATGTTATATTGTTATATATAAACAAAAATTAAAAATATATAAGAGTTATACTCAGATATATGTATGACCAAATCATATTTCAAAAAAAACTTAGGATAAAATATAAAAATACAGTTAATTTTATATTTTATTAGTCCCTTTATATTAAACAAATCAAGTTCACTGTATTTACATTTTATTCGTAAAATTATAATTTAATGGTATATATAATATATTATAATGGCCTGGTTGCCTAATAAGTAAAAAATAATAATTACAAATTTTATTAACAAAATTCAGTTTTCATTTAATGTAACATAATTTACATAATTTTTGACTATTGTAAATCTAAATATTAACTGTTATTTAAATAGGAATTGAAAGAGACATTATTAAATATTTTTATATGCGATATAAAATTATCCTTACCATAAA